GGCAAATAATTAATTATGCCCTATAATCGGTTCATTTATTGTCACACTCTTTTTTCAAAAAATAACCTCATCCTTAATGATTTGGAGCTTTAAAAACCTAATTAGGGGGTTTAAAGAGTTTAGCACTCCATGTGTAATTTCAATATTTTTCCAACTTAAAGAAAAGGATACTTAGTGTCGGACCGAATAAAAAATACATTACGTTCGAATCGTTATTTTAACGTATCGAGCTCCAATACTTTTAGGCCTCGTTTGCTTGCTACTATTAGGTTAGATTAACTAAATAGAAGGAATTATAAGTAAGATATTTGGTTGGTAGGATTCAACATTACTCACGTCCGTTACTAAAGTTCAAGCCCGCAATTAAGTGCTACTACGTCATGAAATTAGTAACACACCTCTCCCTGCGATTAATTTCGTATGGGTGACTAAAACGAAAAATTACAAATTTATCCTTTAAATAATAATGTAATTTTGTTAAATAAAAGACTTTATAGACAATTTATATAAAATAACAAAATTTAACAAATTTAATACATGTAATCTAAAGAACCAAACATATTAGTAACTAATAAATTAGTTAACCAGTAGGAAATTAATTCGATCTAATATAATATAGGTAAGCAAACGAGACCTTAATATCCAATCTCGAATAGTTTCCTTTGATTTGTAAAGGGCCGAGGGTTGAATTTGGAGTAAATATTATCTTTCATACGTTTGATTAAATTTGGAGGTATATTTCTTTTATCACGGGCTTAAAACCTAATTTCAAATATTTAACGAAATTTGGTTACTTTAGAAAGTCGAATAGGCTAATTAATTCGTGTATAACAACGAAAATCGCAAATTTGCAATTTCGATAATCGAAAGGGTATGTAATATGTATGTCAACATCGACATCTTAAATTAACAACTGTTACCATACCTAACATTGCTTATCAATGGGACTACCATGATTTGCTAACACAAGATCTTATGGATATATATAGTTCTCAAAAGGGTAGTGATATACGCAGGTCAAATTAAACATTCAGGCACCTTTTTACCATGGTTTTTTACCTTTTTACCATAACTATTTACCTTTCTACATTT